ATTATTTTTTTGGTCTAAATTATATCAATTGTCTATATCTGAAGATGGTCTGTATACTGAAACCAGGTAATCCTTCTATAGAACCACTTTTGCACTAACTCAGTTTGTAGGGAGTTTCAAGTCTTCTCGACCTATTCATGTTCAACTAAGTTAAGCACACTTTAACAACATGTTCTTAAAGGGTAGAAGCTATTAATTGGACTCACCAGTAAAAGGGAAAGTAAATATGTGACATGAATTGTACAGCTCCATCCCCTTTATCTGAAGTCAGTGGTTCTGGAGGAGTTTGGTCTCCCACTTTCTTGCGCCCTCTAGTGGAAGAGGTGCTAATGGGTCCTTTTGTCCTACACCTCTCTGTGCTGGCCTCCAAGGCTCTAAAACTAAGGAGATTGGGTCTTAGTTCATTTTATCACAGAGATGTTTTCAACTCTAATTATTCTGGTTTGCTCCCAGACTCAGGTATTTTAAAATATCTGCCCAGTACCTAGTAATTAGAATGGAAGCAACCATCACTATTTCTTTTTCCCAAAGGCAGTGTCATCAAAGCAAAACTAATACTTCAATGATCTGGGGAAAAAAAAAAAAAAAAAAAAAGCCAGTGAGGTGGGGTGGGGTTAATTAATATTGATTCACTACTTTAACTGTATCTACTTTAACTTACTTAGAACACCACACCTAATATATTAGGTTAGAACATTCTGTGACTTCTTGGTTTTGCTGTGCAGCACAAAGAAAACTTTTATTCATAATACATTTTGTGCTAAACATCTTCACAGTCTGATCCTAAATTTCACTTCAATTTTCAAAGAGAATAAAACAAAACAAAACAACTACACCAATATTCTGACCATGAAAATGTCCCAGTGCTTTCCTTTTTGATTCCATCTTGTGAGAGCAGCTTATATAACATAAGGCTTTGAGAAGTAATATTCAAATTCTTAAACTGGAAAAACTGTACTGAAAACCAGTATATTTGTAAGGATAAAGACTAGGTAAAAAAGAGGTCTTGAGGTGACTACCTTATCCTTCCTTTTATATTGAAATAATGATGACGACCCTAGAGAATGTCAAAGTTAATCATCTTTTTCATTCCATCACAAGTCCACGGGTCAGAAATTGCCTTAATGTCACCAAGGTCAGCAGAGCCACCTTGACATAGTCTCATGTCACTGGTGCTGCTTAAACCCAGTTTTTTTCTTTAAATATTTATTTATTTTCATACAAGAAGCGGGGTATAGGACAGATGCACGGGAGGGTGAGAGGATTCACCAGAGACAGAGCGGGAAACAGAATAGGCAGGCTGACGAAATACACAGCTGAGGGGAGCAGTGGACGAGATAGGAGAGGTCTGCTGCACCATGTGGGATTCTTGCCGTTAGCTGGGTATCGAACCCGCACTGCAGAGGCTGCGGACAGCTTCACAGTGCGGTGCTCAACCACCTGCACCACCAGGGAGGTCCTTTAAGCCCACTTTTTAGTGTTAAGTAGTAGCACAAGAGTGGTAGCTGATATTATTAAAGCTTATCACTGGAAATCACAGGTTTTTTTTGAAGGAGTCTAAGAAAAATACAGTATCATTATATTTTAAAGGCGATATACTGCAGGAGAGGTTTCAGTTTGGGTATGTGTTTTCAGTCAAAATAATGCAAAATCCTAAGAATCACCGAAAATATGGAAGCATTAGTTAAAAGTTACATATTAAATAATGAGAAATTACACAATACACATATTTGTTTAATGCTGTTCTCATATTTTATCAAAGTATGGTTGTGAGTTTTAAAAAGACTATTTCTAGAATAAATAAGACTTCAAAGGCAAACATGGGTTCCTAGAAAATATTTGTAACATCAATAAAATAGCTGAAGATAATAAGTCACAATGTACACTGGTGGCATACCTGGTAATACTACAAACCGATCTCAAACCTTTACATATATGAACATATTTAATTCTCATAGTAGCCATATGAGTTAGGTACTGCCATTATGTTGACTTAATAGAGAAGGAAACTGAGGTAGGAACATCTAAGTATATTGTCCAAAGTCATACACCTAGGAAGTGTCACAGTAAGGATTTGATCCCAGCAGTGAAACCTGTGCTTTTTTTTTTTTTAAGATTTATTTATTTATGCATACAAGAACTGGGGTACAGGCCAGAGGTGTGGGGGATGAGAGGATTCACCAGAGACAGAGTGGGGAACAGGATAGGTAGATTGAAGTACACTGCTGAAGGGAGCAGCGGGCAAGACAGGAGAGGTCTGCTGCACCATGTAGGTTGCTCCCTGGCTGGCCCGGGATCGAAGGTTTGGTATAGTAGTTGCGCATAGCTTCATAGGTTGCGTCTTAACCCCTTGTGCCCCTTTCAGAGGCCCAAAACCTGTTTTCTTAACCACTGTGCTATATGCACTTATTTCTCTGAGTCTAAAAACAGTGTGTGGGCCTCCCTGGTGGTGCAAGGGGCTAAGTCTCAGCACTATGACACTATCAGCAGCCACTACAGTATGAGTTTGATCCCTGGCCAGAGAGCTAACCCACATGGTACAGCAGACATCTCCTGTCTCACCCGCTGCTCCCCTCAGCAGTATATTTCAGTCAATCTGCCTGTCCTGCTCCCCATTCTGTCTCTGGTGAATCCTCTCACCACCCCTCAAGCCCCGCACCTCTGGCCTACACCCTAGCTCTTGTGTACATAAATAAAATCTTAAAAAAAAAAAAGTCAGTGTGGACCATGCTTGCCAGTATGAGTTTCCAGAAGCTGGTAGCCAAGTGGTGGAGAGAAGGCAAGAGCATCTGTTATTGAGGGATTCAGAAGCACTCCAACTGCTACTACTTTGTGGTGCAAAGGAGTACCTTTGCATTCTAAGAGAGCTTTGCCTCATTAGAGTTACATATTCAGAAAAATAAATGCCTAGAATTTAAGAAGTTGCAGGGTAAATTCATTTCTAGTGAGATCAAAATAGGTTTTCTAATATTGAGTGATGAAAAAAAGTATTGCATTGTAGTGTCTCCACTGTTACCTGCTGGAAGATAGCCTCAAGTTAGCTGTCACCAAAAAAGTTAGATCACCAGTTTGGTGGATTGACATAGCAGAATGTTTAATGGGCTGTGCTAAGGTCTGAATGTTTTTACCCCCCCTCCCCCAAATTCAATTCTGATGGTCCATGTGGCATTAGTAGACAGAGTCGTGCTTAACCAATGTGGACAGAATCATCATGAATTGTATTAGAACCTTACAAAGGAGGCTCTAGAGAGTACCTTACCATTAGATGTTTCAAAAGCGCTTTGTACAAAACAGACTCCTTTGTCCCTTTCAACCATTTAGGGAACTGTTAGAAGTCTGTAACCCAGAAAGTGGTCTTCACCTTGATCTTGGACTTCCAGGCTCCAGAAATGTGAGAAATAGATTTTTATTATTTATTTTTAAGCTGCTCAGTCTCTGGTATTTCATTACAGAATCCTAAATGGGCTAAGAGATGCCGTTTTGTGAATAATAAAATATTTTCAAAGGACGAAAAAGTTAGAGAATTTGGTATTTCTCCTTGCCAGCTCTTATTGGGTTTAAGCATCTATTAGTTTCTCTTTAGGTTTTTTTTTTTTAAAGATTTATTCATTTATGCATATGAGCTGGGGTACAGGCCAGAGGTGTGGGGGTGAGAGGATTCATCAGAGACAGAATGGGGAGCAGAGCAGGCAGATCTAATGAGATACACTGCTGAGGGGAGCAGTGGGCGAGATAGGAAAGGTCTGCTGCACCATGTGGGTCACTTCCCCAGCCGGGAATTGAATTTGTGCTGCAGTGGCTGCGGATTGTTTCATAGGTTGCATCTCAACCCACTGCAACACCAGGGAGGCTCTTTTTTCATCTAGTTTCTTTTACCTTTCTTTTTTTTTTAAGATTTATTTATTTATTCATTCATTCATTCATTCATTCATTTATACAAGCACTGGGTACAGTCAGAAGCGGGGAGGGCGAGAGAATTCACCAGAGCTAGAGCAGGAAGCAGAGCAGGCAGAAGGACCGAAGTACACTGCTGAGGGGAGCAGCGGGCAGCAGGAGAGGTCTGCACACCTTGTGGGACCCTCCTCTGGTGGCCGGGGAGCAGCCGGGGATTGAACCGGTGCTACAGAGGCTGCGGGCAGCTTCGCAACCTGGAGCTCAACCACTGCGCCACCGGGGAGGCCCTCTTTTACCTTTCTTAATCCTCTAAAATGTCCCTAAACTCAGGCTGGTATTCAGGAATGTATCTGTATACCTGATGGATAATCTCATTGTTAGTACCCATGTGATTTCTGTCAATTATATGATCATTCTTGTTTATGCCACTACCAGTGTCCATATTTTACTTACTAATTGTAACCCTTATTTCTTTTCAAGAATTCTCAACATTCAGAACTGTGGGCCATAAAGGGAAATTCCAGGTAATGAGGATAAAAATCAGCTACTGTGCCATCTCCTAATGAATGGAGCACTACACATCTCACTCTTTCCTGGATATAGCCATGAATATCAATATAAAAAGAATTATCATCCCAAGCTGTCATGCTCAACAGCCAAAGACACTTTAGCATGACAAAGTCTATCTCATTCCTGAACACTCAGATAAGTGTGACTTAGTGCTATTAGGAATTTTGATCATCAGATGCAGATCAGGATAATTATCTAGATCAAACTTTTCCTTTTATTGATAAGAAAACCAAGGCCAGAATCAATGCCACTGTTCAGAGAAGCAGCAGAAATGGAAATCTCATATAATGGAGGTGAAAATGTTGGGTTATACATTTGAAGGCTAACATGCTGGCATGTTTATAATGTCTGCTTTGTGCCAAGCTAAGTTCAACTTATGTACATTAATGTCTAATTTTCAAAACCATCCTATAAGATAACAACTATTATTTCTATTTTGCAGACGAGGATGATGACACACAGAAAGGTTATTTCACTTATGCACATTTTCAAGATACTGAGCAGCATAAATGGATATTACCTCCAGCTTCTGGGTTTACACTGTTGGCTTCTGAGCATCTCTCTTCCTTAGATTGGTAGCAGTCATTGGTTCTTACTAGTATCTCAGTTTGCATCCTTTTTTGAGAAATGCTTCTGCTGTTGCTCTTGGTTTCTGGAATATGCCTCTGCCTTGGGTAGGAAAAAAACATATTTTGAAAGATTTAAGGTGTGTATAGAAAGGGAAAATACTAAATGCCTTCTTCTCCAGCAATATATGCTTGCAAGAGGCTCAAAATAATTTGTGTGTTATGTATGCTATTGTTAAGTATGATTCACTTTGATAGACTAGAATTATATAGAGTACACAAATAACATGATATCTAGAAGTTGCAATCACAGAAATGATAACTAAAACAGAGGTATAGGCAACATAAATAATTCACATATTTAGCAAATAATTACGAAGCAACTACTCTGCACTTGATCAGATCTGGGTATTAGGCTGTTACAGTGAACAAAGGGACAAATGTTGTTTTTATTGATGGAGTTTCTGTTTCAGTAGGAGAAGATTCAGATGATAACAGAAGGCAATGCATAGGTAAATTTTAATTTTGTTAGAAAGTGATAAATTTTTGTTGAAAGGAGAAGAAAATCTATTGGTGTTTGGGAGGATTTGAGGAGTTGGAAGTTGAAATTTACACAGAGTAGTTAGAGTATACAGACTTGCTTAAAAAACTGACAATTAAATAACTGAAGATAGGACCTCCCGGGTGGCGCAGCGGTTGAGCGCTGGGTTGCGAAGCTGCCCGCGGCCTCTGCGGCGCCGGTTCGATCCCCGGCTGCTCCCCGGCCACCAGAGGAGGGTCCCGCATGGCGCGCAGACCTCTCCTGCCGCCCGCTGCTCCCCTCAGCAGTGTCCTTCGGTCCTTCTGCCTGCTCTGCTCCCTGCTCTGGCTCTGGCAAGTTCTCTCACCCTCCCGCGCTTCTGACTGTACCCAGTGCTTGTATAAACAAAAAACAAACAAACAAATAAATAAATAAATAAATAAATGCCTCTATAAAAAAAAAAAAAATAAAACAAATAAATAACTGAAGATAAACATGCAGATATTTACAGTAAAATAGGGACATAAGTATAAATCTCCGTAAGTGGTGAGAGTTGTCTGTTTTCTGTATGTTCCAGGTATAGCAAGATGTGTGGTTGAAATATGTTTGAGACTATGCGAGAAAAGTAGCTGGAGATAATATTGGAGTGATAAAAGGGGCCAAATCTGGTACAATTTTGTTGGACTTTATTCCAAGAGAATAAAAGGAGACTTGAGGGTGTTTTCACATGAATCAATTTATATTTTTGAAAAGGTCTCAAAAAAAAAAAAAAAAAAGGAAAGGTCTCTCTGATTTATGCACAAAGAAAAGCGTATCAGGTAGGGTGGAGTCCAAGACAACAGTCAGGAGGCTTGGGCAGTAATCTCAGGAAGAGATCATACTGACTTGTACTAGGGTGGGGATAGTACAGGTGGTCAGCTGTGGTCAAACTCTCAGCATGTCTTGGTATTGAGACAGTAAAATATCCTGCCATATTTGTTATGGGGCCTGAGAGAAAGGAAAAAAAAATCTTTGATTTTTGATGAATTGTTTTTTCTTTTATTTTACTTGAGGAACAGGAAGAATTGATTTCTTGTCAACTGAGAGATAAAATTTTAGTGGCACATGATTTGGGGGGAAGATTACTGGTTTAGTTTTACAGCTAATATTTGAGATAGCAGATATCCCCATGGAGATATCAAGTAGGCAGTCTGGGATGTGACAGAAAGGTCTAAAAGTTGGAGCTACAAAATTGGGAAATTTTGGTTATATAGATGATATAGCTCACCGGGGTTGTGCACTGATACAGAACAAAAGAAAATCAAGACTCAGTCCTGGGCACAGCAAAGTGAAGGGTTGAAAGGAGAAGAAACCATCAGAAGAAACTAAGAAAGAATAATCAGTGAATTCAAAGCTATATCTAAATTATATGGAGTTCTGGAAAACAAGAGACTAAGGAGTATTGACAAGGAGGGTGGCCGGTTGTGTGGAATCCTGCTGATTGATTAAGTAAGATAAAGACAAAGCACTGACCTCTGGATTTAGAAACATGAAGGCAAAGGTGATACTTAATAGTTTATTAAAGAGATGGATATAAAATTTGGGTTGGAGTGGATTAAGCAGAGGACTGGACAAGAACTGAAGAGAACAAGACAGGATTGTCCACTCTTACTACCATTCAATATAGTATTGGAAGTCTAGAGCAATTAGGCAAGAGAAGGATGTAAATGGAATACAATTGGGAAAAAAGACATAAAGCTATCAATATTTGCTGGAGACACATAATATGCACAGGAACCCTAAAGACTCCACTCTGCATTTGCTCAGTTCTAGACACTAGGCTGTTGCAATGAACAAAATGACAAATATGAGAAACTAACTGAAGCAATAAATCACTGCAGCAAAGTGTCAGGTTATAAAATAAATACACAAAAATCAGTTGCCTTCCTATATGCAAACAATGAATTAGGAAAGGAAGAAATTAAGAAAAAGATCCCATTTACAATCACACCAAAAAAGTTAAATACTTCAGAGTAAAGCTAACAAAGGAGGTGAAGAAACTATAAAAAGAAAACAATAAGATATATATATATATATATATATATATATATACACATAATGGAATATTATTCAGCAATCAAAAAAGATAAACACATGCCATTCGCAGCAACGTGGATGGAGCTAGAAGGAATTACGCTCAGTGAAATAAGCCAGCAGGAAAAAGAAAAAAATATCAGATGGTTTCACTTACGCCGGGAATATAGGGGAACCAAAGAAGACACCAGTGTAAAAAAATAACAGTACAAAACACAATGAAGCAAAAATGGACAATTATAAATCAGAGACATCCTGCAGGGGAGGAGGAGGGAGAGGGATCAGAGGGAGGGAGGGAGGAGCACAGGGGACTGAGGTGATGGTGCACGGGTGCACTGGGGAAGGAAACTCTATGGGGACTACACCTGGAGAGGGGGAAGCAAATATTGTTTAAAAATGAACAATGATGTAAAAAAAATTAAAAAATAATAATAAAAAACCTCATGAAAAAGAAAAAAAAATAAATTCAAGTTAAAAAAAAAACAAACCAGAAAACTGTAAGATATTGTTAAAAGAAAAAGACACAAAGAAATGAATTTACTGCCTGACCATGGATTGGAAGACTCAACTGTCAAATTGGCTATTCTACCCAAAGCAATATACATATGCAATATATATCTGCACTGCAGTAGCATTTTTCATGGAAACAGAACAAACATTACTGATATTCACATGGAACCACAAAAGACCCCCTAAAGCCAATGCGATCCTGACAAAAGAGGAAGAATGACAGTATCACACTTCCACACTTCAAACTAAACTGTGAGGCATCATTCACTAATGTAAAAAAGTGAGAAGAAAGATTGAACTTTAGGGAAATGGTAAATGGCTACACTTTATAAGTGATACAGAAAAATGCAGTCAGATTAAAAGAAAAAAGGTAATCAGAGGAGAGATTTTATACAAGTCAAGTATATGAATGCGAAGTGCTATACTCTTTTCTATTTATCATATTCTTTTTTTTTTTTAAGATTTATTTGTTTATACAAGCACTGGGTACAGTCAGAAGCACGGGAGGGTGAGAGAATTCACCAGAGCCAGAGCGGGGAGCAGAGCAGGCAGAAGGACCGAAGTACACTGCTGAGGGGAGCAGCGGGCGGCAGGAGAGGTCTGCATGCCATGTGGGACCATCGTCTGGCAGCCGGGATTGAACCAGCGCTGCAGAGGCTGCGGGAAGCTTTGCAACCCAGCACTCAACGCTGCGCCACTGGGGAGGCCCTATTTATCATATTGTTTATGAGGGTTTTTGGAATAACTAGGTAATAGCCTGCATATGACTCTTTCGCGGACAGTATTGGACAAAGGGATACTGTAGAGGTGGTGTGTTTGAGCAAACTGTATGCTAGTGACCCCAAGAGAACTCACTTGAGGAATGCCAGCTGGCCAATCAAATACTTCCCAACAGTATGGCACTATTTTAGTGAATTCATTACAGCCCGTCAGATTTGGATTCATGCTGATGTAGTTCACAGAGAATACACATTAATTTATTTATTTTACGCATATTTCCCTTCTGATTAATGCAGGGGATATTAATATATTTTGTCTTTTAGTTCCTTCCTTCTTTGTCTATATTCTTCTAGCTCTTTGAGCACAGTTAAATATAATCATTTTAATATATGTTTCCTTAGTGACAGTTGTACATTATCATGACTCCCTAAGTGCACTCTTAGGTCATTTTGATTAGATTGCAGGTGCACAAAGAATGTCTTGAGTCAAATGATTTAGACAAATGTGGTGATGATTAAACTTACTCTACATTTTGATGCTCCCCAATTAATTTATCACAGGCTAAATTTCACTATAATGCCAGAGGAATTGTGTATATCTTAAATCCTACTCATGGGTAGTAGCTGAGCTCTTTAAAAGCCTGGCTATTTTGAATGTTAATCACTGAGGGGCCAAACAGAAAAGCCAGATTGGCCCTTTCTTCACTACAGGCTCAGCTTTCACATGCCCACAGCAGATATGTAGGCCTGCATTCCTGAGAAGATGTGCGGAATTGAAGCTGTCCTCTGACAGTCATCCAAGAGTAACATAGCTGATTAATTTCGGTTGTGTTTGGTTACTTGCTACAGGAATGAGAAAAATGGGTCTAGAAATATAAAGTGAAAAAGAAAAGTATAATAGTATTTAGTCTCGGGTAGAGGTGGTGACTCCTTTAAACCATAACACCACAGGCGAGTTATCTTCTGCTCCATCATCTACTCTTTGCAGGTGATGGCCATGCTGAGGCTGTCTTCTTGGCATTGAGGGGTCACTGGGCTTCCAGCCACCATGTGCCCATGAAATGCAGGATGACTTTATTCAGCCAGCTGAATTCAGTTTCCAGAAAACTTACCCCAATCTGCACTGATCTCTGATTGGCCATGACTTGTCTCTGCTAAATTGTCAAAAGTATGAACCTGTGGGCCTCCCTGGTGGTGCAGCGGTTGAGCGCTGGGTTGCGAAGCTGCCTGCAGCCTCTGCAGCACCAGTTCAATCCCCGGCCGCCGCGCAAGAGTCCCACATGGCACGACAGACCTCTTCTGCCGCCCGCTCCTCCCCTCAGCAGTGTACTTCGTCCATCTGCCTGTTCTGCTCCCTGCTCTGGCTCTGGTGAGTTCTCTCACCCTCCCATGCTTCTGACTGTACCCAGTGCTTGTATAAATAAATAAATAAATAAATCTTAAAAAAAAAAAAATTAAAAAAAAGTATGGACCTGTGCTTCTGAAGTCATGTACAGTGTTGTAAACCAATGCTACCTCAGTAAAAACTACAATAATAGAAACAGTTGGAAACATAGGGTTTTATAAATGAACAAAATGCCACCCAACAAAATCAGCTTTTTGTTATTAAAGAAGAAAACAATGCATTATGAATGGGTAATATACCTTTTCCACTCCTGGGTAGAGTTATGGGCACTATTGGGGTTTAACTATAGGTTTTTTGTTTTAGAAATATAATAAGCTGTGCATTAATACCCCAGTTTTATTTTATGTCAATTTTATGTCAATTTTTTTTATGCCTGAGATTTTTCTTAAACTTTAATTTGGCTGACTAGTTTCTACTAACTCTATGCTTAACTAAATTTTTAAGAATTTGCCCCAATTTTTGATGAGTTATTTTAAAAAACATTGTTCATATGCAGAGTTGATTTTTTTCTTTATTATTGTGACAATTATTTTTTTGAGACCTATTATGTTAATAGTAATTTTGCTAAACTTATACTGTGCTTTTGGCAAAATAAGTCATTTATTTCTTAGGTTTTCTTCCATAGAGTGACTTTCATTTCATTATACTAAAAACTATTACAACAATAAAGTTGTTGAATTTTTATGTAATTTATCTTTCCAAGGCTTGAATGATTTATAATATTTTAATAATTATGATTATTAATTCAAGCCTCCCAGGTTTGTTTTCTTTACATAAGCTTTCCAAACACAAGAAATAAAAATTCTCAAAATGTTTCCTTTCTAGCTTTCTAGTTTTAGATAACCTTATGTTCATGACGATAACACTTCTATGAAGGTATACTTTTGTCTTTCTATTACTTTAGGGTCAAAAATTAACATCTGTAAAAATGTCCATCTCTACAGGAACTAAAAATCCAATGTCAGGGCCTCTGTGGTGGCACAGGGGTTAAAGACAGGGCTATCAAGCTATAGCCAGCCACTGCAATAGATTTCGAGCCCCAGGCAGCAGGGAGCAACCCACATGGTGCATCAAACCTCTCCTGCCTCACCTGCTGCTCCCCTCAGCAGTGTATTTCAGTAGATCTGCCTGTTCTGCTCCCCCCTCTGTCTCTGGTGAATCCTCTCACCTCCCTCACACCTCTGGTTTATACCTCAGTTCTTGTATGCATAAATAAATAAATCTTTTTAAAAATCCAATGTTAGACCACCTATCAAAAAATAACTGTTAATACCTACTCATTGAATATCCACTCTGTGTCAGGGTGCTGATACTATTCAGACATATAAATATCAATAATAATCTTGATTTAATGGCAAAGCATGCAAGTAAGTATGAAAAGATACATTAGCTAAAACACTGTTCCAACGTCAGAATAATCTCTGAAAACTCAAGCAATGGTTATCAATGCTCACCTTCTCTCAGAATTAAATTCAGGGATGGAAAAAAACTCTAGATGGCAGGGTCTCATGCCTCAAAATCTGGTGCTTTCTCAAATGATTCTAAAGGACAAAGAGATGAGGAAAATATTAAAGAAAGAGAGACTCATGCTGATTTTGAGAGTAGTGCAGGAGTTTTCCCCAATGAGGAGTTTTCCCCAATGAGAGACTATTAGGTAAAATTAATAGCAGGTACAATCACCAGTGAAGATGCCATAGGTGTTTCCATGTGGCAGGAATCACAGGGAAGAGTAGATATGAGCAGGATCTAGATATGGGAAGGATTAAAAGTACCTCTATATTGCCACACATGAGAATTTGAAATTGTCCTATATGGCAGCTTTTATCAAATTATGTTGACAAACATTTATGTCCCTACCCACTCAGCCTAGATTTTATGAATAAATAGGTTTGGGGAAAGTTATCTGCTAGTCCATCTTCTTGAATATTAAAAGTGCCTACTGCATCAAAATAATCTGAGAAGTCTACATTAGTGAAAACATACTTCCACAATTTATTAGGTTCATGTTTTTAAGGAGCTTTTGTTTCTTTTCTTGTAATCCCATTGTGTATTTCAATTATCTATGGAAGACATTGTTGTGGATCATATAGAAAGCTTTGAATATGTCATCAAGCTAATGTGCTTTTTTTTGTTTTCAGAAGCCATTTTAGTAGTTACATGAAGTTATTGTACATTAGTAGTTACATACTGAAGCCAGTTGTCACTAATCTACACAAGGGTGTGAATTCTTGAGCAGAGCAATGTTAGTGGAGGAAAAGAGAAAAAATAGATTTGAGAGATATCTTACAAAGGGAATGAGAGGATGCATGGAAATGAAATGGGAAAAAGTTCAGGTAATAAAGTTCAGTTTATGGCAGAAGAGACTAGGAGATGTTTGCTTGGGAATAGTTACATATTCAAAGAAGATAGTCAAACAGTCTTGTGAAAGACACCCTATTTTGAAATGGAGAAAGACAAGTGTCTATTAGCAGTCATCAAAGTCTCCAAATCTGAAAAAGTGAAAATGTAAAGCAAATATTTTAGCTTGAAATAAAATCATTTCTCTCATAAGAACATTTTATTGTAGTATAATTAGGTAAAGTAAGTACATTTTCTGACATAAAATGTTTTATAAATGTCTTGGAAGCATATGTATTTTGTCAGTGGGGTAGTTCACCAGGATGAGATTGAGAAAATCATGTAAACTGTCAGCCTGAACAAAGGAGATATGGCAGAAATGTAATCTGAAAAATAATATGTTGAAGATGTACTAGGAGCCAGAAGGTAACAGTACAGTGTGTCTCTCTGTGATATGTGTGATAGAGAAAAGAAGCAAGTCTCTACTAGTTGGTTAAATTTTTAGCATCTTAATGGACTAAGTCTAAATCTGCTACATTTGAAAGACAAAGGATTCAGAAATCTTAAAAATTTTTATTGGTCATACTCGCATTTTCTTTTATTATTTATTTATTTCATAACAACAAATTCTCACAGGTGTGATTATCAAAAGTTTTTCATTAATCTCGATGGTGGTCAGATATTTCTACCACACTAATGAGCTTAGAATTTTGGAAATTAATGATTACCATATAAAAAATAGTCTTTCATATTTTTTAGAAGCATTATAATAAAGTAAAACTAACTATTAAGCTCTGGTGAGCATGTCTTTGAGCTTTTCTTATACAATAGTTACTACAGGATAGACTATTTATAGGTCACAGTTTAAATAATGCAGAAAGAGTGAATCAATATTTTCAGCTTCTCCAAATACTATACAATACCATAATACCTTATATTAAAGTGAAAATTAGATTAACATTTACCTTAAACAATTTAAGTATAAAATAGCCAATTTCAATCAAATATAAAAAATTAAGCAATCGCACATGATGGTATGAACAAATTGAATAAGAATAAGTGTTCTAATATGAATATATTTGGCTATCTAATGAATACATGGAAATGTGTGGCAACGTATGTGAAATCTTGCGTGTTCTATTCCATTTCTACTTTCTTTTCTGTTGATCATAAGGAGAAACAGACAGTTGTTCTATAAAGAAGTATAGTCCCATCTGCTTCTCATTTTAACTTTATTTATGCTCGAAAGTTTTAAACTAATCTCCAGACCATTTGTAAATCTTATCTAAAATAATTTCAATTTTTAAACTTGGCACTGAACAACAAAGCTAAAAATCCTGATCACAACTCATTTATTTTTGTTAAAATATTTGATATTGCATTGTCAATTTGTTTCTCATCCAAATTAAATTGACCTTGGTTTAGAGATTTTCACTATCAAAAGCACAATAGAAAATAGCAGATAAGGACACAATTTATATTTTTGAGGTCAATATACAGGTAAATTGCATCTGTCCTCATGAATTCCTTAGTAATGGCATGAACAACATTGTCCTTCCCCCAAAAAAATCCCACCATCACCTCTAAATAGATTCTACTTATCCCCAATTATAAAGTAAGCTATTTATGTACTTGCATGCTTTTATTTTTCCTTGATTAACTGATCACCAAGGAATAAGAGTTTTATCTACTGGTGAAAGTGATTAAGTGGATTTACTTTGTGCTGAGGAATTAAATTGTTAAAAAAACTAAACTTGTTATTATTAATATAATAAATATGGTTAAGAATTTTAGTTAAATCAATTCAAATAGTTATAAATGTCTTTAGGGGAATAGAAACAGCATTTGGGTTCCTGCCATGCACTGTCCTTGTCAGCTTCCCAATTCAGTTGAGGGTGGGGAATAGTCTGTGAAGAAGGGCTTTGGAGAACTATGGGTAAAAAGTGAGATTTTACTCATTCTGTTTAGTTGAACAAAAGAAAAAAACAAAATGTTCAAAGACCCTCACTTCTTGCCAACTCCACCAACTACATTAAGAGTCAGTTGGACAGCAGGTACAAATCTTCCAAGACTCATAGCATGTCCATGGTAGGCACCTTTAGGAACTGAAGCATCCAGAGGGTGAAATTTGGGGGTAGCGGTGAGAACCAGGAAGGGAGGGAGCACAATGGTCTATGGTGGCGAATTACAGGTGATTTGGTGGTAGGTACACAACAATAATTGAATACTGAAGGGGGACCCTATACTTCCAAAACACTGATTATGATATAAGTCAACTCACTTCAATTAAAAAAAAAAATAATTGATCATTATCCTCTATAGTTCTTATGAAGGTCTTCGACCATCTCCATGACTTGATTCATAATGTATATTGGGCAGTGGAGTGAGAAATATGAAGTACAGAAGGTGCTTGCCTATAGGTTTCAAATAGCATGTAAATCTGAGTTCAGTAGACTTGCTTGTGAGGGATACTAAACCTGAACTGCTGGCAGGGTATTCTTCAATTTTCCTCAAAGGCAAGGTAGAGAGGTTTGCATTCCAAAATCCTTCAGAGTCTCATCATTCTATACTACATGTTTCTAATGATATATAAAAGATATGTGTTTCGGGCCTCCCCTGGGGTGCAGCGGTTGAGCTCTGGCCACTAAACTTTTAATATAACTAGGTATTCAGTTGATATATTCCTAGGTAGGGTTTTACTAAGTAGCATAATACTAATGTCTACATGTTCAGTCCTATGTTGAAACAACTGAACTCTTTCAGTTGAGATGGATCTGTGTTATTTATAGTTACAAATACCAGATGATTGGTTTGCTGATAACTATTTCTTTTAATATTCCATGATTCATAGATTATTTATAGACATGAAGTTTGTATAATATATAATCTATGTCTGAATTATCAGACTGATCTTTTTTCTGGCAAATTCCACAATGGTACCAGCTTGATCAGATGGACTAATCACTTTCACCATATCAAGCAACCAGAGAAATGATTGGGTGACACCCCCCCAAACAACCTGCCAAGTTGGAGCTCCTTGAAGTGTCATGACAAAAGTAGAGTTAGGGGTTGCAAAGTAACTGGTGAGTCCCACAGTGCTAGCTGCCCACCAATTTTCCAGTGTGCCTTAGGCTGAACCATGCCAAATCTGTACCATGCCTAAGAGGCTACTGGTGAATTCTATTGCTTCTTGTGAGGTGAATACTGTTAAATTAATGACACTATGGCATGTGGAATAATGGACTCCCACAGATGTCTATGTTCCAATCCAAAGGACCTGGACATCCAAAGAACACTGCAAAATGGAATTCAGGTTGTAATTGGAAACAAAGTCACTACCATTTTACCTGAACAAAGGGTCATTGCCCTGAGTTATTTAAATTGACCAATATAATCAGTGTCTTCAAAAGCAGAAAGGTGAATTGGAAGAGAGAGCTAGAAAGATAGTTGCATCAGCATGATTTGGCCTGATGTAGCTGCCTTTGAAGATGGAAGAGAGCAACCGGGTACCAGCAAAGGAAATAGGTAGCCTTTTGCAATAGGAAAAGACAATAAAGATGTTCCTAACCAGAGGTTACAGAAAAGAACATAGTCATGATGTTAATATTTCACTTTAGTCCTGTGAGACTTTGTTAGAGTTCTAACTTTCAGAACAGTAAATAACAAATTTGTATTAAGTCACTAAATTTATAATAATTTGGTGTGGCTGTAACGAAAATTATACATTATTTTTGCTCCTGTAATTGGAGTGTAGCTGCAAAAAAAAATACTGAGAAAACTGGAAGCGACTTCTTGAGCAGAGCCTAGAAAGTTTTGAGAAAGCAGGACAGGAAAAGCCTAGATTGCCTTGAACATAATGTTAGTAAAAATGGGGATGTTAAAGCTCTGATAGGGCAGACTCAGGAGGAGTGAAGAGTATGATGGAGAAAACATTTTTTGTCTTGGAGAATACCTAAATTGGCATTAGTAGGTTGTTGGTAAATGATGTTAAAGATGCTGCTGCTGAAGAGTCAGAAGGCAATGAAGAACTTACTGGAACCTGGAGGAATGGCCATCCTTGCTATATTGAGGCAAAATCTTACACAATTTCCCCCTTCAGTTATGTGGAAAGCAGAATTATAAACTATGAAAATGAATGTTAACTGAGCATATTCCTAAGGAAAGTGCTGAAGGTGCTCCTTCACTTTTTTTTGATGCCTGAGTA